GTGCGTGCGTGCGTGCGTGTGTGTGTGTGTGTGTGTGTGTGTGTGTGTTAACTAAGAAAAGTCCCACCTCCTTGAATTAAGAAATTCAGGAGAACATGCTGTGACACAAACCAAACAAACAGAAAAAAGATTCAGGGTTAAGACACCTCCTGGAATATTTCTTTCACCTCTATGCCTTTTTTAGCTGATAGCTCCACAATTTAATGGAAGTTGAACTTGGGCACAAGGCAACTCTTCTTTCATTTATTCTTCCCTAATCTAAGGTTAAAAAGAACAACAAAAATGTTTTGAATTTTACCCACTCTGTGTTTTCATATTTTAAGAACATATGTCTTTAACAGCAGATAGCCCAACTTTTTATTGTTCAAACAAGATGGCAGAAACATCTGACCGGAAGCTTGTTTCAAAGATTCAGGAATCCTGATGGCCTCAAAATTAAGAACTTAACTCTAGGTGGCTAGTAAACTAGAAGTGGAAAAATGTAAATAATATCCAGCTTGAAACAAATCATGTGGAATAAATGCGCAGGGGACAAAATCAAATAAGAAATTTAGAATTAAGAAGGACACTGTCCTCAGGTTCTAAGCCACTTGAATTTTATTTAGGAAAGAATACTGACACTATGGGCTGTAAGTCTAATAAGTCCACCTCTGGGTACTTTGTCTTTGTGATTCACAACCTGAAAGTTAGGTAATGGGTCCCTTTCAATTCTGGTCAACGAGACATGAAGTCTTAAGACAGAACTTTTGTGTAATCTAAGAATTCAGGCAAAAAAGTAGGCTTATCTACAGCAGAGAATCACCAAAATTAGCCATCTAGCGAGTAGCTTATCTGACAGGAACATGTTAACTTGTATTCTTGTGTGTATTGAAAAGTCATAGCATTTCTAAAGGTTAGAGATGTATTTTGCAGTCCCACCCAATATAAAGAAAGATACTGTCTGTGCACCAATTTTAACATTTTAAAACAAAAGGTTTGCCTGTCATTCAAAATAGTAAATTAAAGACTCAGACTCCTAGAGCTTCTACTGCAATAATGATTATTCTTCAGGAAGAAATACAAACAGCAGTGATTGTTTTTTTTTTCTTCACAGACGTGCTCAGCCATCAGAAAAGCTTAATAAATCCCGTTTTAGTATGCATTTATGCAGTGATTACATGAACTTTGACCTCTGAAGAGCTGTAGCAATTAGCTTCAGTGTCCAGCATCTTCCTCCACCATTTCCCACTGGCTACCTTGGGTCTTTCTTTTTCATTCTTCCTGCACTAGGAGGGCATAAAATTTTAAAGTTGACTTTCCACCTGAGGTATCTACTTTTGCACAAGTCAATTTCTCCCTTCTCCCCCCCTCACCCCAACTCCTGTCTAAACAGCAATCTCAGATGGATATTGGGGCTCTGATTGTCGATATTACTCAAACACAAATGGATTTCAATTCAATCTTGTCCTGTACTTTCGCAAAGAAGATAAACTCTAATGGCTCAAAGAGCTTCATTTCATAGCTCATAGTATCTAAAATAAATCGGATCTCTTCTGTCAGGCTAATTTAACATTTTTTAAATATTCAGTGTAATTTATTTTAAGTCAAATGAAACATGGTGCATTGCCAGAAAGCTAAAGGAGGAGGCAGGAGCAGGGCAACTGGAAGCTCCTCTCCCCGCTCCCAAAAAAAGAGCCAGGAAAGGAGATGAAAGTGTTTTAACTTTCTAGTAAACACTGTTTAGCAAAAGAATAATAGGAAAGTTGCCCCTTTCCCAGAGAGGGATGGAACTATAATTGTTGCCTTTAGCAGAGAGCTCAGATAAACCGCTGGGACTCATTCTAAAGTGACCCATCACTGCATTCATCTCTTCTTGAACTTTTGGTGAACCTGAGATTAAACAGGGGTGAGCAGCTAAGCAGTTTGTTGTTAGCAGGCTTTTCAACAACCCTTTCAGACTGAGTAAATATTGATCGGTTTGAATCTGATTGCCCCAGAGGAAAACACCACAGCATCTGAATAGCCTCCAAAAGTAAACTTTCAAAGGTGAAGCCCAGAACAGACTTCAGAACCACAGCAAGATTTCAACTCAGCCGAGTTTGGGGACACCCTGAATTTCGGGAGTACTTTGCATGAATGTGAGGGAAGTGAGGAAAAAGCATTTGCAAACTAGAAATCTATGTTGCATTTATCCCAATTGAGACTCTTGTCCTTTTTAAATTTATCAATAAAATGTTAGTTTCTGTTTTCCCTCTTTGTCATTTTCGTTACCATTGCTGTCATTGTTCAAGAAGCTAACCGTGCTCCTCAGAGACCAGAACAGAAAAAGAGAGACCTTGAAATAGGATGTGTTAAGCGCCTGGGATTTAATCGATTGCGACAACTAAAAAGATACAAATGTTTTTCTTGTTGAAAGGTATATTAATGTTTCCTAAATGCATTGCGCATTAACTGATTTATTCCACGACCTAGAGAAGGCTTGGGGTGTTTAGCCATAATTTATCGTTCTCCTTTCTGTCAGCTACATTAAAACCAGCACCTTGAAGACTGGAATCTCCGGGATTCCAGCGGGTCGGGCCCTGCTTTTAGATATTGAAATCTCGGCAGTGGCATGCAAATGATCCTTTAACACATTAAAGAATTTGGAAACCAGCCATCTGTTTTGCTGTGTGGCCTTACACTAATAAACAAAAGATACTGCATAAAGCCAGGCGGGGGAAAATGAAAGAAAGAGTTGGCCGACTTTGAAGTTCTCCTCCAACCACTTGAGTCTTTTAGAGGCAACCCCAGAACCCAGGAGCCAAGGGGAGGGCACCCGGTGCCCTTGATATGGCCGCAGCAACTGTGCCTGCAAAGTCCAGGCATGCCCCCTTTGACAGGGAAGTGCAGGAAATCTCATGGGTGCTCTAGGAGCCTTCGAACTTTAAGATTTTGTAGGCTGTCCTGCTCCCCACCGGTCCCCCAGCCCACCCTTTGTAAAACACCCTTTGGAGAGGAAGGAAGTCATATGTCTGTATTTGTTTGTAATGCTGTAAAATCTCTGCACTACCCTTGGGGCTAAGTTAAAGCCTCTAAAAATGTGTGAAAGTAAAGGAAAAGTGGAAAGGAATCTAGGAGAGCTACTTGGAACTCAGATTTGCTGGCCTTTCTCTGTTTGAGAGCAGACTCAAGCCTTGGTCGGAAGCAATTTGAATATTGAAATGGACTTCAGGACAGCTTCCACAAGTTCACCTAGAAGAACCTGTTAAACTCAGAGAAGAAAATAAAAAGCTTTTTTTTCAGGGTTATGTGGCATGAAATTAGAACTGAGGACCAATTACAGCCATGAAGGCTATGAAATCAAAGCTAAATCTCATGGGCATGGGATGTGTAACCTGGAGGGGATGGGGGCGGGGTATAGAGGGTGGCAGGAAGGCATAGATATTGACAGGAGGAATGAGAGGGGGGAGGCAAGGCTTTACTGAAAACAGACCACTTTCAATTTAAAGGGTGAAATATATTGGAACACTGACAATCCAAAAAGAAGGAAAAAGGGTGGCCTGGGGGCCCCATCCTCAAACAGCTTTATACTGGAGCTAATTAAATGAAAATCTCTTAGCTCTTGGTTCACTGATGTGAGGAAAGTTGGGCCTTTGAAGGAGGTTCTGTTTATATATACGTCAACATTCAGTTGGAGGTGAAAAGGTTAGCACTTGACCCAGGAAGTACCCATGTTTGTTTCAAAAAAAAAAAATAGATCTGCTTCATAAATTCCTTCACCATTTTTTCCATTATGAACTTTGATTATAATAAAGAAGCTCTTGTTATTTTAAAGAAAATCAACTTATTATAGACATTGGTTAGGTGCAATTACACTCATAAGGGAAGCTTCAGCTACATAGTAGAGAGAGCACTTATCTTTTTTTTTTTTAAGAAAAGTCCCACCTCCTTGAAAATGCACACCACCCTTCTCCCCTTCCCCACATGAAATGGGCCAACTTTGTAGGAACCAACACATTGTAGCCAAGCCAAATACACAGATGCGTCAGCATAGCTGAAACTTGAATATATTTATTACAGACATCTTAAGACCCGTAAACTCTGCTCTGGATCACATCACTCCAGGATCTCAGAGCTGTTCATGATTGTACAGGAAATGGGAAATATCATAGGCTCACAAAGGATAACTGATAGAACTCAGTGTGGTACTTCAAGGACATCAAAACATTGTGCGACATGCAAAAGACTATTCACGAATCACACAAAATATACATTCATTGTGCCATCCATCACATTAACAATTGAGCTGAAGAGACATCAAATCCAGCTAAAATAATGCAGGAGGAAGAAGCTGGTTTGAATGATACCTTTAGGTTCCGAATAACCCAGCACGAAGTTTAAATAGAGTGTGGCCAGAGAAACAAGAAAGGGGTGGGGATGAGGAGAGACTTATGCACAGGAAGAAAGGTTTCTGAACCTTGTATTCTGCAGGCCTTATTAACTCAATAAAGGAACAAACCAAGGTTATCCTCTGAGGCATCTGACTGAGTTTAAATGAGAGCTTTTACTCTTTAACTTATAATCACATATAAAATTGTACCAGCTTTGAGAGTTTGCCCACCCTGTTTTAGTCACTTAATCTAAACATTTCTAGAAAATCTATATAAAGATAAATCTCTCAGCACAAAGTATTTACAACCAGCAAACTCACACACATGAAACTGAATTAAATTAAAAAATGAATTAATTGTGTAAACACGCTCATAGTGCATCTCTTCTTCATGAGCTCCTGGGCTCTCCTCTCGATCCTACTTTGAGGGCAAAGTAAAGGAGAACAGTAAATATACAGATCGATAAACAATGAGAGACTTCCCTCTGACATGTTTCTGCTGGCAAAGGAGACTATTTTCCAAAGGGCATCTGAAAGGAAGAGTAGGTTCTGCAGAAATCTCCTAAAAGTTGGGAGGGGTGTTAGGGGCCATCAGAAAATTGATGCTGGCACCCAATCTGCATTAAGGTACTAATACAACTAATACCCTCTCCTACACACACACACACACACCACCGCCACCCCAAATCAAGCCTCTAGCTCAGAATTCTCTGGAAACACATTATTCTGCCCAGGAGGTCCCCAGATAGGATCGGAAAGAAAGAGACTGCAAATGGAAGATAAGCTAAGAATGTGCTTTGGGTAAGAAGTCCCAACCAAGGAGTAGCCTGGGCGGCTGGAGTCTGGGGATGGGCCAGCCTCAGTGGGAGGTAGTCAGAGTGTCTGAGGTAGAAGACCCTGGGGAAGGAACGCAGGGCGAGGAGCTGGACTTCTCTGAGGATTCCTCGGCCTTCTCCTCGCTACCCGGAGGGGTGGCGGGAGAAATGGGCAAAAGGCCCTCTTTCTCTCGTTTCTTCTGCTTCATTCGGCGGTTCTGGAACCAGATCTTCACTTGGGTCTCATTGAGCTGCAGGGACGCGGCAATCTCCACCCTGCGGGCGCGCGTCAGGTACTTGTTGAAGTGGAACTCCTTCTCCAGCTCCGTGAGCTGCTTGGTGGTGAAGCTGGTGCGGACCGCGTTGGGCTCACCCACGTAGCCGTACTCGCCAACTTTCCCTGGGGGCAGGGTAGGAAGCAATGAGGGGGAAAAAAGATACAATTTTACAATCATTACGGGATCCCCTACGGCTTCAGGGCAATATTCTGGTAAAAAGGAGATCAAAAATTTCTCCCAACACAAACCGGGCTGGGGAGGGTGAGTGATGAGGTGTAAAGTGTTAATCTGAAGTCACCCATTAGCATGGTCAGACCGGTGATTAATGGAGCTTAGAGATATTAACAGAACTCCCACACGCACACACACCTTCCCTCTTACTATCAGAACCTCTAAAACTAGGCCCCTTTTAAAACAGTCCCAGATACACCAGGGCAATCTCCTCATGCCCTACAACATCGGTGGGAAGCAAGAACTTTTTTTAAAAAATTATTAATTTTTCTTGGAAACTAAGCATACAATCTCCTAGAATTATCAAGGCGCATCCATAGAATGGCAAGACTGACCTGTTTTGGGAGGGTTTCTTTTTACTTTCATCCAGTCAAAGGTCTGCGCTGGAGAAGACGTCTCTGATGCAGGGGAGCGACAGGCTTCTTGGTGGCTGGCGTGGAGAGGGGACAAGGAGTTATTATACGTGGCCAGGGCCAGGCTCTGGTGCTCTTGTCCATATGAGTGGTGAATGTACTGAGGCGAGCCCACCGCGCCCCCGGCATAACCCTGGTGGTGGTGGTGATGCTGGACCATGGGAGATGAGAGATTTCCAGAGTAAACAGCGGGAGCGCACGAGGGGTACCCACCACTTACTTCTGCTTCCTGATTTAATGCGTAAGGGCTGTAAGGCGCTCCGCAGTTCTGCGCGCCGTAGCTTGGACCACAGCTCGAGTGGGAGTAGGACACCCCCAGGTTCCCAGGAGTCTGGTAGGTGGCCGGCTGTGGGTGGTGATGGTGGTGGTGGTGGTGGGGCGGGCTGATCTGCACCCCCCTGCCCATTAGGAAGCGGTCGTCGCCGCCACAGCTGTTGGCACTGACTGCACAAGACTGGAAAGTTGTAATTCCATGGTCGGAGGGGTAGGCTCGCGCTGAACAGGTCCCGGAGTCGCCACCGCTGAGGATGGGATATTCCAGGAAGGAGCTCATTCTTGCATTGTCCATCTGTCACTGAGTGACCTGGTCCTGCGAAGCCCTGGGTGACCGTGCCAACTTTCTCACTTCCTCCATGGGGCCGGAGAAGAAAAATGATATGAATGTACAGTGCGCAAGAGGGGGGGCGGGAGGGCGGAGGGCGCTACGGGAGGGGCACGTGACTATGCCAGCCAATGGCGGAGCTTCCTGCGAAAGTTTGCTGGCTCCCGCGGTGATGGATCACCGTTTCAGTGGCATTTAAATCCCCGGCGCTCCTCAGTCTAGGTGACGCGCAGTCGCCCCCCCAGGCAGCCCAGGCGACGGCGGCAGCTGCGACGGCTGCAAGGACAGATTCGCAGCGCTGGGACGAAGGGGAGCAGAGGCTGCCTTCTGCGCGCGCCGACTCCGCTCCCCCCCACCCCCCACCCCCCGAGAGGTGGGGGCTGGGAGGCATCCCTCCGTCTCCGCCCCTCCCCATCGCGCGCAGAAAGATGTACTGGCAAGAGGTGAGAAGGGAAGGGTGCTCCGCGCTCTCTTGGATCGGGAATCAGTGGGCCGGAGCTCCGAGTGCGCGGAGCAGGAAGGGTGGGCACCCGGCCAGCACCGCAGCCGGGGTTCCTGGCAGCTTTCACTGCACAGCCCCTGCTGTGGTGTCTTGGGGCAGTGAGGAGCGCAGAGCACGGTGGCGTAGGACGAGCCTAGGCCACTAGCTCTCCAGGCTCAGAATGGGGAGGGAAGTGCGAAGAGGGCTGGGTGTGAGGAACCCGTGTGGGCGTGGAGGAGACTAAGGCAAGGAAGGAAACTTCTCTTCTCAACGGAGGGTCTCCGAAACCCCTAACCTCCACCCCACCTCCCTCACTAACTATGAGTATGGCGATGAGGAGCTTCTGTAATTCGACGCCTAGGAGCCGGGTGAACTCTAAGAGCTGAGCTTGCCGGAAAAGGCCGGGGGTGGCCAGGCTCTTCGCCCTCCCTCTCTCCCGGCTCTCCGCCCCTTTCTCCTCCCCACTCAGCTTTGCTCTAGGAGCCCTAAGGGATCCGCAATAGCTCGGCCGCTGGATTTTGAGGGGTAGGAGGTGGGAGGGAGAGATGACGCTAGCGAACGTGGCCAGCGTGGGGGCCGGACCGTGCGCTGCAGGCCATCTGCCGGTTCCCCAGGACCCAGAAGCCTGCGCGCTCTGGCTGGAGCCTCAAAGGGCGAGACCACAGCTCCTACGAAGTACGCTGATTTGTCTCCCTCCAACGTTTTCTTGTTTTCTGAAAGGGGGAGGTTAGGAGTTGGTAGAGCTTCTTCCTTTATTCACCCCTCCCCCCTCCCCGTTATGCTGCACGTTTGAAGTGGGGGTGGGGGCTGGCAGGTGGGAGGGGCGGTGGACAGATGGCTGATGGTGGACAGGACATTTTCTTCTTCCCCAGCAACACCACCTCTCCTTTGACTGTGTAGTTCTTTTAAATCCCTAGAGAGACACGTGCAAATCTGAGCGTCATCCCAGGCCAGGGGTCCTGTTTTCCATCACCCTCATCCTACCCTGATGCTGCCGGGGTCGTTAATTGCTGTTTGCTATTAGGTTTCATGTCAACCTTTGGCTTGTAGAGAGAAGAGGCCAACAGAGGCCGAGAATTGATGCATTCTTAGGTAAAAGAAATCCAGAGATCATCCAGGAAGCTTTGCAGCCAGTGCTGCATAGATTTTAATCTGACCATGTTTACCCCATGGGAATCCGACAGATGAAATTTATCTGGGGATTGTATTGCATTTCAAGTTCCCACTCCCTCCAGTTTTCCCTCCCCGGTTAGAAGAAGGAAGTTTTGCTTGAGGCAGACACATTTCAAATGTGTTAGTCAACCTTTCAGGTTGTTTTATTTTCCACATATAGAAGTATCGCCCCAAACCTGTTCTCCCAAGAGGGAGAACTCTCGCAGACATTTGACTATGGATTTCCTTAGTAGCAAAGAAACATTTTCCCTAAACATTTCCTTTTGAAAAGTATTTTTCTGTGACCTTTGACCCATCTCCGATCATGGTTAAGAGGGAGCACAGACAGGAAAGGTCACTCCTGCCCCAATTTCAGCACCAGGGGAACCTGATCCTGGAGAAGGGAAAAGGCAAGGCGGCCCTCCTGGAGGCGGCTTCTTTGGGAGCGCCGAGGCCTCCCAGCGACTGGGAGAGGAGGTGCTCCTGTGGGGGAGGTGGCAGGATATGAGGGGTTCCGTGCTGGCATTGCGGACGATCTGCTCTCCAAGCCGAAGCTCGTCGGTACATTCTCCCCACTGGCCTCATTTCATTGTTGAGGCCGCTTTGTTGGCCTCCACGACCCCGGCTTTACACAACCTCCTCGGCCACAGGGCTCAAGCCACAAAGCCGCCCCGGGCCGCAACCGCACTCCTTCCTCTGCTACTTCTCCGCCTCTGCGCTCCTCACCCTCCTCTCTTCCTGCCTCCGGGGCTCTTCAGCGCCAGCAGGGGTGGATGTGTTTCTTGGGATCACGGGCTTGCCCTGGCACACAGGCAGGCAGGCAGGCACCCGGGGCTCTCCACAGGCCCAGCTCTCGCAGCCGAGCCAGCTCCGCCCCAGCTGGCCGCCCTGAGCGCTGCTTTCCCAGTGCTGCTCACAAAGGCAACCTCCCTGGCCTCCTGCCCGCAGGCTTCCGTAGCTCGAGTCCTTCCTCACCGCCCCCCCCACAAAATCCTGGGGCTCATTCCGCGAGGATAGGAGACCCTCAGTCTGCTGGGGAAGTAGGCCAGCGCCCTAGGACTCGAGCTAAAGTCCCTTTAAACGCCCGGAGAGAGTGGGTGGAAAGCGAGCTTGGTCACTATTTAAACGATCACAGCTTGCTGGGCTCCAAACGCCTCTTCCAGGCTTCTTCTATTAGAAAGGGAAGCAGCGAGGAGGAGACAAAACGCCGCCGAGGCGGCGAGTTGTTCATGGCATCCGCGGCTCAGCCAAGCTGTTGTTTTAAAAGAGCAATAAAAATGAATTATGACTAAACGCCTTCTAACTTAATGCTTTCGGACGGGGATCCCCGGCAAATACGTAAGAGGATTTTTATTTGTGCATGTGTTCCTGCAATTGATCTCTTTGATGACATTCTCATTCATAGAAAGCGTTTGATTTATGAGTGTAGGACGAATCTCAAACAGCAGCGGCTCAGCCCTGGCCACTGCCGGGCTGCCCTGCTCCGCGCAGCGCCGGGAGCCAGAGACCCCGCGAGGTACTCACATCCCTCCGCCGCTGCCGGGATTTAGCGGGCAAAGCGGTGGGGGGAAGGTAGAGTGCAAACCCGTGGAGAAAGATCCCGATTTCATCATAACTTCCAAGCCTCTATTAAGAACTGGGTTTTTAAATCAACCCGCCCCCCACACATGTTGCTTACACGCTGTGTTTTTTCACCGTAAGTAAGTAGCCATCAGAACAGAGTTCAGGGAAAAATAAACATGAGGGACATAAGAAGCAGGGGGAAAAAAACAGAACAACCCAGTAACATACCCTAGATCACATTTTATTGATATTTCATTTAAAGTGCTTTTTTCTCTTCCTCTTTCTAGAAACTGGGTTAATTAATAACCTAGGGTGCAGAAACACTCCATTTTAAATTTCAACTTGCTAACCTGACTTCAAAGCTTTAATGATCCATTATTTGCCATGTAAACAGATTTAAGAATGAAATATTGATTTTTCTGACCCTGAAAAAAAAGAATCCTAGAATGCCTGAACCAGAGGATTGGAAAGAACCCTCTCTGAAGTGCATTTTCCAACTAGTAACCATTGTTTTGTTTTATTTTTGTTTTTCTCTGTCTTTTAGGTCTGTTTGCCTGGACCCATCAACAGCTGGGAGACTAATCAACCACACTGAAAATGTTTGGGGATTTGTGGGAGAGGGGTTAGAATGTAGATGTTTGAAACAAATGTGTATAAATAAATGAATTATTGATAACTTAGTTATTGACCTGGAGATTGGTAGCTTGTTTAAGAAACTCCATGTTCCTTTTTCCTGTAGTTGATGGTTTCTATAGGCACTTTATTCCTCCATTTTCAAAAGCTTGGGCTTGGCCCAACTCTGAGGCTTCCCAATCCTGTTTCTATTACCAATTTAAATCTATGGCTTAAACCTCTACACTGAAAAACCAAATCCATTCCCTTTAAAAAAAAAAAAAAGAAATGAAAGAAAAAAAAACTTCTCAGAAGCCCTAACCGCGGTCTGGCTTTCTTTTTTGTGATTGTCTGCTGAAGATTTTGAATGTGCCCCTTAATAAATATATTAAAATTGAAAAAGAAGATGAATCGTGACCAGAATTTTATTTACCAAGTTAGACTAAAAGAAGAAAAAGAAACCGTTAGGAGCCTTGAGAAAGAGGGGGAGAAAAAATAAGAAAGCTACTTATAGCAAAGGAGAATTTATTCTACCAAAAATACGCATGACAATGCATCCTAATGTAATACAAAAATAAAAAGAAAGTGAAAATACAATTATATGATCACTTTCTTGCAGGCCTCATATATTGCTTTCGGTAAATCACATAGAGGATTGTTGAATTAGATTTAAAGCAACTAGAACTCCAAAATAATCTGTAAAAGATGCCTCAGCAACTGGGTCAGGGGAATCACTAAACAGAAACTCTTCAACATTTAGAGGAGGGAAGAGGGTAGGTCAAGAAGAAAGTAAAATAAAAAATCAACTCTCAGAATAAAAGAAGGCAAAACCACCTGGTCACAGGGGTTTTTGTTTTGTGATGCTTTGTTTTGCTTTAATGTTTTTAGTAATTCAGATGCTGCAAGTCGATTGTGGTGAGTGTGTCTGTAAAAAAGTCAAAGCTGTCAGCTGAAATATCTACGGGACTGTCGAGGGAACCTGGCAAACTGGGTGAGACTGCATCTGAAAGCTGCAGGCAGGAATCTGTGGAAAAAACGTTAAAGTCCTGCAAAGAGGGGACCTCGAGGGCCTCGGGACTGTCATTGTTTAGGCCAGAGCCACAGTTCTGGCCCATTGTTGACAAGCAGTTAGGAACAGTGGGTGACTGGTGCTGAAAATGTTTCAGATTTTTCTCATTGCTGGTTAAAGGCGAAACTGGGAAACTTTGGGAGTCGCCATTGTGTCCATTGGGAGCCTGCTGCTGAGAGAGGGCATTTTGCTGAAAAGTGTAACCTTCCCTCTCCAGAAGGGCCCCGGAGACGCTGAGGGCTTGCTCAAAGAGCGACTTCTCTTCCTCGTCCTCCTCCACTTTCTCAGAGTCTTCCAGGCTTTTAAATTTCCCTTCGCCGTTTTGGTTCTCCTTGCACTGAGTCTGCCTCTTGTGCTTCATCCTCCGGTTCTGAAACCACACTTTCACTTGTCTCTCAGTCAAATCCAGCAGCGCTGCGATTTCCACCCTCCGGGGTCTGCAAAGGTACTTGTTGAAGTGAAATTCTTTCTCCAGCTCCAAAAGCTGCGTGTTGGTGTAAGCAGTTCTCAGGCGCCGGGAGCCCCCTCCGCTGCCATCGGCGATTTCCAGGGATTCTGCGGAAAGGGAAACCAACAAGAGACACACGCACAGTTGGAGGTGGAAGGGTCCGAGCGGGGTTATTCCACTGGAGAATAAATATAGCAGAAAAGATCAACGGCAACAAAATGGCCGCCCCTGGATGCAGTGAAGCTATTGTGCTGCCTTTCCTGGGAGCCCAGCCCGGGGAGACCCCATGTCTTCCACCTCCATCCGATTCCTGCCTGGAGCTCCCCCCAACCTCTTCATCCGGGAGCAAACTTTATATTAGCCACACCACAATTTATAATTAATGCATCAGCTGCTTAGCTGAGCAAGAGCGATCTATCACTCTTCATTACTGTCAAAAAGCCAAACTCTAGGACAACTAGACAAGAGGAGGTCAGTTCCAACTCAAATAAATCATCCCACATTACACAAGTTAGGGAAAGTTTCCCCCCCTCTTCTTAAAAATATATATGTCTCATTGTGGAGTGCAGGATGCCTTTTCTCTCCATCAACCCCACTCCTGAGCCCACAGGGGAAGGGAAGGCAGCCAAGCATCTCTACCTCTCCGCCTTCTCTTCCAGCCCACGCTCCCCTCCCCCCAGAACCACTCTCGGGGCAGCCCCAAAGGGGAAGAAGGTCCCAGGACCTGGGGCCAAGTCTTTGGACTGACCTTTGTGGCTGAGGCAGGCAGGGCCGGTGGCGGCGGCGGCGGCCGAGGCGGGCGGCAGCGCGGTTTTCTTGGCCGCCTTCTTCTCCTTCATCCAGGGGTACTCGGGAGGCTGCAGGGCGCCGGCGGGCACTGGGCTGCCGCGGCTGCCCGCGGGGCTCGGCTTGGGGCGGCCGCCAGCGCCGTGGCGAGGGTGACTGCCTGGGTTCAGGCTGGGAATGGTCTGCTCAAAAGGAGGAGGAATCAGTGTCGAGTGTGAAAGCGTCGAGGTCTTGATTGATGAACTTTGAAATGTATCAGCGACAGGGGGAAAAGATGTCAGGCACTCAGCGAGCGACGGCTGGCTATTGATAAAACCAATCTCTCGCTCAAATTCGTAATTCATGGCCTTCTCCTTGGAGCCCCCTCGGAGAAAAAGTTCCCTCTTCTGGAGGGGCTTTGGGGGGGCGAGGCCCAGGAAAAAGGCGAGTGCGGAGGGGGAAAAAAATCTATCATAGAAGATCGCTGCTGGGGTGTTTTTTTTCTAATTCACTGATTACAGCCGTATGGGGACCGCGCTACTATTAAACTATTGAATTCATGGAGACAAGGTTGAAATTGGACCGAATTGGCTGTCACATGATTGCTTCTGCCCAATGACAATTTGGGCTTTAATCAAAAGAAGCCACTGTCTGTTTGATTGATCCAAAAAAGTCGGGAAGGAACGCCTCATTGGGGGCCAGAGAGGCTTTATTTACACTTTTTTCAGAGCAAAAATACATACATATGGGTGTGGGTGAGGATGACCAGGAGTGCGTGGGGGCGAGGGTGTCTGCCTGCCTTCCAAACAGCAAGGACCTGGTGTGTGCGCCTGGGAGTGCGTGTGAGTGTGCGAGGGTGTGCGAGTGAGCTCTGCCGCTGGTCCCGCCGGCGGCTGCCCTCTGCCTCCCCCGCACACTCAGCGCATTGTTTGGGACTGTCGGGAAGACGCCTCGCACCTCACAAATCATTTAAGCACCTCAGTCTGACGCCTGCAGTCATTAACAAAGTAATCCATTAATCTTCAAAGTTTTGACACCCGAGGTCCCCGCATTCCAGCCACATAAGTTCTGCTAAGGCAGGAGGAAGGAGCAGAAGAGAGGAGAGATGAGACAGGGAGAAGTGAGAGAGAGGGGCAGAGAGAAAGAGAGAGAGGGAGGGGGAGAGAGAGAAAGAGAGAGAGAGAGAGAGAGAGAGAGAGAGAGAGAGAATTGCTGTCTAATAGCATTAAAAATTTAAAAATGAGGGAAAAAAACACTGCAAGAACCAAACTGAAAAGTTATGGTAATTATTTTCCAAAACCAGTTCCTGGATATCAGACCTGATCTCCTCTCTATCTTCCTTCCTCTCTGTCTTTCCTGCTTTTCCTCTTTTTTTCCGTCTTCTCCCCTCTCCCCCTCCCTCTCCCTCCTCTGTCCACCTCTCCTTCCCACCCCCTACAGGCCCTCGGCCCCCTCCCAAAGCCCAGCTACGAGTTCGCGCCCCGGACCCGGACCCGGCCCATTGTTAGCCGGCTTTTCCACGGCAGCTATTGCGTCTGACTCCAGAGGGAAGCGGAAAACGGGAGGAGGCTCTCAAAGCTTCCCGACCTTCCTGCGCCATCAACTTTTCAGGAGTAGCTGGAGAGAGAGATAGATGCATGTGCCAAGCGAGACAACCACCCCAGGTCCATGTGTCCAAATCCCTGTAGCCAGGGCGGCGGCCAGCCAAAGAAATGCCGACCCGAGCAGGCGTGTGCGACTCCTGGCATTCTGGGTTTCATACCCGTAACGCTCGGGTGCGGTGAGTATTTCTGATTTCCAGGAAGTCTGTTGGAAGTTAACAGCAGGGAGGCAGAAGGCGCTTGTTTCTCTCCTTTTCTTTTTCTTTTCCTCTCCTTCTTCTCCTTGTGGCTCTCCGTGGGGACACATTGGTTCAGATGCAGTGAGTGCTCCCTGGCAGCTACAATCGTCTTCCCTGGTCCTTGGCCACCAGGGATGTTTGCATTCGGGTTCTGTTGTGGGAAACAGAACCGCGGATGAGACAGGGTGACCTCAAGGAGTAATTATAAAGGTTCTCTTTCTCTATTCACTCTCTCTTATTTTCCAGTTCAGAGACTTGAGACTGAGGGCATCTTGGATTGTGCTGGAGGGTTCTAAAGATAATACCTTTAGGTACCAAACAATAACTTTAAAAAATCCACCAAGCCAGAAAGAGGGGAGGAGGCTGAGAGAGAAATCTGAAGGTATCTCTTTTCTTCCAAACCTTGAGGATGATGATTTGCTTTCGCTTCCGTTGAAATGGACCAAGTGATCAGACTCCCCCAGGCCGGCAGGCATTGGTGGCAGGAAAATAAATCATTCTGATGGCCAAGGAGAGAGAGGTTGGTGAAGGAGAAAAACCTACCAGAAAACAAGAAAGGCCGAGCAAAGCGCAAGGATAGATTCCATCTCTGAGACCAGCATCAAAGGGGGCTTGGGTTGGAAATTAGATATAAAGTGGCCTCCATTGTAGACTAGCCCAGAGCATCACCTTACAGATAGAGATGCTATTTTGCAAAATGTGAGGTTTTTCAGTTTTCTTGCTTTTATTCCAAACAAAGCTCTGAAGGAAGTCTGGGCGCGATCAATCTTGCTCACCAAAAGCCTTGACAGCTTCTGGCCCTTAAGAACACATTTCAGCTTCGAGCTCTTTCGAAGATCAAATGTGGCCGTGCAAAGAGGAGAGCAGGAAACGCAAGTAAACAAGGAAAACTAGTCTTTTTAAAGGTATTTTTTTGGCAGCACAGAGAGTTATAAGGCTGCTTTTAAGAAAGGTGCTTTGCGGACTCTGGGACGGCAGTTTTGGCATTGGCTTTTACCAGAAAATATCGAGGGGTTAAGGAGAGGGGGAGCTACAGAGAGGGAGCAGCGCTGCCCTCATATCGTGGAGGCTTTGTCAGGGGCTGCGTGGGTGAGAGCTTTCTGCTGTCTCAGCGGCCTTAATTCAAATACCATTTGGAAGAAAACACTTTCCTTTGACTATTCAACACTGAAATCTTCCCCAAACCTATTTAATTCAAGAGATATTTTCATAAGGATTTCTTTTTAATGTCTAGAAAGCTGGGGGGGGGGTCGATATTTTCTCTTTGAAAGCCAAAATGAATGTGTTGACTAGAAAGATGTGGGAAATCATATTGGAATCTTATTTTAAAATCTACGCCCTGAGGGAAGAAGGAAGTCTCCAAACCAGTCCTCCCCTTAGCTGAAGAGTAGATTTTAGAAAAGGGTTCAAATAGTGGTATCCCTGAAAGATTTTCCTCTGTAAGTGGATAGCTTTCTCTCTCTCTCTCTCTCTCTCTCTCTCACTCACACACACACACTCATTTTTCCACCCGACTGTTCCTTATTTTCCCAAGTAATTTTATGCAATTCTATAAAATTATTACTTAAAAGAAGACTCCTGTGTCTGCTCAGTTCCGATGTGAACGACCAGAAGGGCAGAAGCTCCAGTCCTCACAAAGACTAGCCGTTACATTTCTGAGATGCGCCATATTTCAGTGGGGAGATTGGCATGGGATGGGGATTAAATCTACTTCTTCCACAATCCAAACTCTTTAAAAAGAAAAATACATATATCAGGAGCCCCCAGGATAGATATGGGGGAAGCACCTCTGTCTGTGAGAGAAACACCCAGATTTTTACAGCTGCCTGGCTTTGCATCTTCCAAGCCCTTTTCTTTTCCTTAAAATGTGAGGTTTCCTAAAAGTAGCTCCTGCAGACCCAGCAGGTATCCAGAAATGGCTCCAATGCCCGTTTCTAAAGATCTGAAGGAGCTTCCCAGAGGACGATAGGGGCCATGAAGATGGATATTTTGGATTGCAAACAAAATGGCGACATTTTCCACCTCTGCCTCAGAAACATATAATCCAGGGACAAGGGGTATTTATTTCTCACATCAGATGCTCCTGATCCCCAGACGCAGGTGGTTCCTCACTTCCAGCTTTGAGGGGGGATGCTGATGCGGATGCAGTTCTGACATTCGTACTTTCTGAATTTGGTTCCTTCTCCGAGCAATTCTTTAATCTGAAGATGAAAATATTTCCCTTTCCTATGCCTGCCTTTGCCTCTTACCAGCCAGCCAGTAGGCAGCCCAATCTGAGATTCAGGAGTAGAAATGTAATGTTTAGCTCTTGCAGCATCAAATGAAAGAAGTACTTATAAAATCGCATTTTTATTAGAAAGATATTAATCTTCTTTCTCTCTCTCCCTCCCCTTGGGACCATGAAAGGAAGCTGGGGAGGGAAGAAGGAGAAGAAATAAATCCAAAGAATGCCAATCCTAAATTCCGGGAGGAAGCCCAAGCTGGGACTCCAGCAGTCCAAAGAAGAGCTGAGGGAGGCTCTTCGGAGCTCAGCCCTTCTTGTGCTGGAGACCTGGCTGAGCCTCTCGGTTTCTTTCCAGCCCCCTCTCTCCCAGTAGCGATTTTAGAAGTGATTCTTTTCTCCTGGCTTGGTAAAGGACCGGCGAAGCATCTGCAGAGTGTGATTGCTTCTAGAAAGTGTTCGGCATCCTCCGCGCGGCTAGCGATTCTCTGGGTTAAGGCGTTGGCTGGTCCGCTTTGACCGGAGCAAGGTTGTGGACGAAAAGATAGCCCTGCCTTAATCCCTGGCGGCGGGCCGCCCGGGCACCTGTGCGCCCCCCGCCGAGCCTTGTGCCTCCCGCTGCCTTTGTTTCTCCCTCACTCAGTTCTCCGCAGCCCCTGGGCTCACCGCGGGCCTCCATGGCAGCTGGGAACCAGGCAGCGTAGCGCACTGGCCGCTCGGCGTCTCCAAAGCTGCGGCCGCCAGGAGCTCCTGCTGCCTTCCCGAGAATTCGCCGTGCTCGAGGGCGAGCCGCCAGGCCAGGCCCCAGCTGGAGCTGCAGGGTGGCCTGTGGCCTGCTCAGCCAGTTCGCGTCCGCCTCAGTTCCACGCAGACCCCCATCTTCGGCCAAAGAACCCCTTCTGAACGCGGATATTATTCAGAATAAAAACTTTATTTTGTTTTGTTTCTCAGAGTGTGAGCAGCAAGGAATGTAGAACTCTCAGAACAAATCTAATATTTTTCCCGTTTACAGATTTTCTTCAGTCTCGCCGGATGTTACAAACTTAAATCACTGTTTTCGAAAGCTGGATCCTCTCTGGTATTATTGCATCATTACCGTTTTTATAAAGGAATTACATTTCCCTTTCAAATAAAAAAATTTCCTATATACGCCAATACACTATTGAACAAAAGGCTCAAGAAACCTTCTGAACAATCAGGGTACAGAATTTCTTTAATATAAATACGAACGGATGGGGATAAATAATATTTAAAACTTAGATTATTCAATGCTTGCAAAAAAAATATAAATAAATCTGACTGTTCACCAGCATACACACACGGAAAGACGTACACTTAGTCATCCTTGCACAGGGAGCCCCTGTTTCAAAGCGCCTTTGATTTTTTTTTTTCTCGCTCTTTACAAGAAGTGCAATTAAAAAAACTCAAATTAAAAAAAAAAGTAATTGCTTCCCCTCGGGAGCCATAATGTACGAACAAATTCACATTGAAGAACTCGGCTAGAAAATTTGTTCATATACCCTGTTTCTGATCAAAGAGTAGAGAAGGGAAAGGGTGCAGGGCCAGCGGCCGAGCAAGAGGAGGGAGGAGATAAATATCGCTACTGATACTGACAGCCATTCCAGCAACCAAGATTGCTACGTCACATAAACTATAAAAACGCGTTACCAAAGAAAACAAAACGGGGTGTGGGAGGGTGGTAGGACGGCAGAGGAGACAGAAAAGGGAGGGGCAGGGCAGGAAAATCTTAAAACAAAAAAAGCAAACGAAGACAACGACGAAAGGTGGGGGGAGGGGGACTCTCCTGGCGCACAGCCCCGAGCCCACTATCACAGGTGGGTGAGCTTGGGGGCTTCCTGAATTCTTCCCTGAGAAGGATGGTGGGCGGTAAGGTCCGTGTAGGTGGGGTGCGGCTCCCCTGGACCGGGCCCATGATGGTGACCGCTGCCCAGTGGCCCAGCACCTCCATAGTCCATGGCCGAGGTGGCGTGGGGGAGGTGAGTTAGGCCAAAGAGGGCCGGCCCAGAGTTGCTCATAGGCTCCACATAGCTGCCCCCCACGAAGACGGGGCTTCCCTGTAGGTGTGGGGTCCCATAGCTGCCGTTGCCCTGCAGGCCATGCCCGTGAGGGTCATAGTCGGGTGTGCCCCCTGCGCCTGCCCCGCCTGCTGTGTAGCGCTTCTGTGGGGGCGGTGGAGGTGCGCAGCTGGGTAGGGGTGCAGGGTAGGAGGCAGGGGGCAGACCGTAGGCACCCTGGGGGGGCTTGGAGAAAGGCGGGGGCGACTGGGGCTCATAGGGGACACTGTTGACCAGTGAATGCATAGAGTTCAGATAGCCGCCAGCGCCAGGGGGCACGGGGCTGCGACTTGGGGACTGGCCCCCTGATGATGTCAGCATGCCCTTGCCCTTCTGATCCTTCTTGTATTTCATGCGGCGATTCTGGAACCAGATCTTGATCTGTCTTTCCGTGAGGCAGAGCGCGTGCGCGATCTCGATGCGCCGCCGCCGCGTCAGGCAGCGATTGTAGTGAATCAGCAGGTTGGCCATCTCCACCCGGCGCGGCCGGCACAGGTAGCGGTTGAAGTGGAACTCCTTCTCCAGCTCCACCAGCTGCGCGCTCGTGTAGGCCGTGCGCGCCCGCTTGGAGGACGCCTGCCCAGGCGGACTCTTGTCGCCAGCGCAGCTCTCCCCTACCAGGACAGAAGAGAGAGGAAAAGGGGCGTCAAGGGCTGCCTGCAGCCCCGCCCAGCCCCTGGCCCAGCCAAGCCCCTCCTTGCTCCAGGCCCCAAAGAGCCCTCCATTTGTCAGGGACTAGAAAGGGGGAGGAGGACCTAGGTGCTGTCCTCTGTCCTGGTGGGGAAACAGTGCCAGTAGTTGGGAAGCCAGCCTCTCATTCAATCAAATTGCATATCATAGGCCTCTCCAAGGGAA